TAAAGATAGATAGATAGATAGATTTACTTACAACAACGTCTCACTTCGACTGCAACACCCCGACAGCCTGTAAAAGCTGCCACAGCAAAAACGACAATCATGTATTTGATTAGGCCCATGCTGGTTGGTAACGATCCTCAGAAGATATTAGATGATTCTGCCTCCTGACAACAGTTTTATATACATATTTGAGCCTGTTTAATGACCGGGCCAGTTTGTGCTTGCCAGCCAGTGGCGACCCGCGGCCATGGCTTATTGGCTGTCAGACAAGTAGATATGGTTCACGCGACAGAAACAACAACAAGACGACCTCTTGTGGGGCCGAAGTTAAACCAGCTGCAGAATTTATAGGCTCTTCGTGGTCTTCCTTCAGTGGCTTGTACGTGCTTGCCCATAGGCAGGGGAGAGATAGGAAACAGACAGATCAAGTGCTACATGCAATAGTGGACATAATGATTGGCTGAAGTAGGGGAATGAGTGCTTTCAACAATCCAGGAAAGGTGACGGTTTGAATAGCACTCTAGATAATAGAATTGTTAGAACGGATGTCCAAAGCCTCACAATAAAAAACAGAAACATCAAAAGTGAGGGTAGGTTGAGGTAACTAGGCACCACGTTCGATACAATCCTGTCATTCGGGGACTTTGTGGAGGCAATGGAGCAAAATGCTTAAAGGGGCTTAGTGCACAGGAATTAAGACGGCGATAGACATAGAGCAATAAACTGCTGTCCATAATGTACCAGCACTTGAATTTGTCTGCGATAGATTATAAACTAGGACCATTGGGTCAGCCTGGAGAGCGCATTGCCAAAAATACTCACATGGGGTGAGATCTGGCGGATGACCCCGCTGCGACTGAGCTTTATCCTTCGTTCGGCGTACGATGTATTACCGTCCGGTGTTAACATGGTTAAATGGTCTGCGACCAACAATCCGACTTGCCCGTTGTGTAAATCGAAGCAAACTCTTGAGCACGTCTTGTCCGCGTGCAGGAGAGCCCTAGGTCAAGGCCGTTACACCTGGCGACACAACAAGGTGCTAAAAGAGTTAGACGCCGTTGTCGACCAGGCTAGAATGAGGGCTAACGCCAGAGCCAGTTCTAGCATCGTCCCCATTCGTTTCCTCAAGGCTGGGCAGGTTCCAAAAGGTAAGGTCAACCAAAACGCATTCGCTCCATCTGTGCTAGACTCTGCGAGGGACTGGTTACTGGCGGTTGATCTGCCAGGCCATGAACGGTACCCCGAGTTGATCCGTAAAACCGGCCTGCGACCGGACATCGTTCTCCATTCTGCGCAAAAACGGCAGCTCATCCTGATTGAGTTGACTGTCCCGTTTGAGTCGCGTATGGAGGAGAATCATTTGTACAAGCTCGAGAAGTACAGTGATTTAGCAGCCGGTTTGAGGAGAAACGAGGCTTACACGGTACGGGTATTTGCCGTCGAAGTGGGAGCGAGAGGCCTCGTTTCCACTTCGCTCTACAATGTGGTGAAAGACCTAGGATTGCGCGGTAATGAACGGAAACGAACACTAAAAAAACTGAGAGAGGCAGCCGAAAGGGCCTCTAGCTGGCTTTGGACGCAGCGCAACAACGTAGGGGACGGGCCTCGGTGAGCTGGTCCTGGTGTCTAGCGGAAAAGAGTTTCTCATTCCTTTGAAAGTCCATCGTGTCCGAATTGTCTGCCAGTGTTCCTCTGCCAACTGCTAATAAAAGTCCAACATGTGTCCGGTAAACCAAAGTAAGCTTGTCGCTCGGTCGTCCAGGCATGCTGACTGCTCTAATTAGGCTGCCGTGGCGGCTTCTTATCTCACAGTACCTCCTTCGAAACCACCAAGTCGTCTTGTCTCTGGCCGAAAGTCTAACACCATCCGGTAATTCCGTGCAGCAGGGAACCAGCCCTGAGCTTCATGAACTCAGGAGGGCCCACCTCCGAATGCGTCTAGGAATCTACTGATGACTGGTAGATCCCTGCTGTACTTGCTCTCTGTGAGTTTATACCTATAGGACTACTTACCGTATCAAAGAGTCAGCTGGTGAAGCTTGAACGCATACCGAATAAAGCCATGCGGGAGATTCTAGGCGGTACAGGAGACACCCCAGTAGTCTGCAGACGATACATCCGTGCACTGCCGACTATTGCAAACAGGCTTAAAGTGTAGCAAGCCAGGTCAAACCTCAGAGTACCGCCGACATAAATCGCCTTCCTCTTGAACCTCTGGATACGGCTAAGGATTGCAGGCTGGTTAGAATGAAGTCTTACATGGCACAAGCAGAACATACAATTATAAATGTGTATATGTTTGAAATAAATTATAGAGGAGTGAGACAAAGCGGCATAGGAAAACACAGGTTTGTAAAGGTTTCTATTCACACCTGACCAGAAGTGCCAGGACTGGCCAGCAGGCACTACAGAATCAGTAATGTGTTTGTTCGTTAGAAAACAAAAAGGGAAAACTTACTAATGGTTCAACTGGCTGCGCATCAGTTATTTTAGGGGGGGG